ACCCAGTGCTGGTCCTATCGGTAAAAGGGACCACTTGAAGGCAAAGTAAATACATTCTGATTGCTATGATCATTTGACTATATGAGGCAGACTTAGGAGACTGAGAATTTAGTATCAAAATTCTTATCACCTAAGGCAACGGTTCTTGCTTTTTAAAGATCCTCTTGAAAGCTATTAGCTTTTAATCTATGTAGGTTTGAACAGCTAAGAGATACCAGAATACCTGTGGAAAGGGGAGACAGTTAGAAAAGAACAGAGCAGGGTCTGGTGCTGGTAGTCATGCCTGTAATCCTACCTATTCAGGAGGCTGAGATGTGAGGATGGGATTTGAAGCCAACCCAGGTGGGAAAATCCATGAGATTCTTGTCTCAAATTAGCCAGCAAAAATCCAGAAATGCAGCTATGGTTCAAGTAGTAGAGTACCAACCTTGAGTGAAAAATCTAAGGGATAGCACCCTGGCCTTGAGTTCATGCCCCAATACACACACACACACACAAACACACACACACACAGAATGGAGTAGGAGTGTTTTGTGACTTTTCATATTTTAAATGCTCTTTATTATAAAATGAAAGCCATTGGATGATACATAATGTCAAAGAAGTTGTATTCTATATTATCTAGCTAAATATTGAAACACATTTTGAAAGAAACATAATTGCTATTTTCTTCTTTCTCATTCACAGAACTATATTTTAGCAATTACAAACTAAGCAACTATTTTAAGCTTTCAGAAATTATTAAACTTTTTTTTTGTAAATTCAGAATACAAAAAATAGGCTATGTCTTTTAAAAATCCTCTTGATCCAGGTGCTGGTGAGTCATACCTGAAATACTAGCTACTCAGGTGGCTGAGATCAGAGGATCACTGTTGGAAGCCACTATGGTCAGAAAAGTCCATGAGACTCTTCAACAAACTACTCAGAAAAAGCCAGAAGTGGTTCTGTGGCTCAGAGTGGTAGGGTGCTAGTCTTGAGCACAAAGAGGCTCAGGGACAGAGCCCAGGCTCTGAGTTCATGGCCCAGGACCAGCCTCTACCCCTCAAAAAATCCATTTGAAATAAAAAAGACAAAAAAGACAGCATGTGTGTGTGTGTGGGGGGGGTGGGTAGCAGTGGGGGCAGGGGAGGATGTTCATTCTTAAGATGGGGGAGCGGGGAAGAAGGGGAGTAGGAGGGGATGGGAAAATGTTACAGTGGAACATCCTTTGCACAATGAATGTACACAAACACCAATAAATACAATAAGACAACAGAAAAACCCAGATCTGCAAACACTTAGGAATGCCTGCAATTCTCCTATGGAGAACAGGCTCTGAAGAAAACAGGCTCTGAAGAAACCTGCATCCTGGGGTTCACATGGTTTGTGAGATCTGGATGGATGGATGGATGGATGGATGGATGGATGGATGGATGGATGGATGGATGGCTGGATTTGGTGGTGGGGTTTGAACTCAGGGCCTGGGCCTCTGTGCTCAAGGCTAGTGCTGTAGCGCTTTGAGCCACAATGCCACTTCTGGTTTTCTGGTGATGAATCTCAAGGACTTTCTTGGCCTGGCCGACTTCTAACCGGGATCCTCAGATCTCAGCCTCCCGACTAGCTGGGATTACAGGCATGATCACCGGTGCCAGGCTGGGCCCCTTCCTTTGGATGTGAACTAGTGACTCCCTTGGAACAGGCTGTGGCCAGGCTGTGGCTCCTGAAGCCAGTCTGAGGCAGGGCGGCCTTGCCCTGGCCCTCCCTCACCGGTAGTGTTCTCCTTTCCTGATTGCTGCTGATTGCAGGAGTGTCATCAGGCCCAGCCCTTACCCCGTGTGCGCAGGGTGGAGGAAGGGATGTGTTCATGGCACCCTGGGCGAGCAGCTCTACTACATGAGCCACAACTCTACTTCTGGCCTTTGGGTAGTTAAAGACAAAAGTCTCTTATGGATTTCCCTGTCCGAGCTTTGAATTACAATCCTCAGAGCTCAGCCTCCCTGGGTAGGTAGGACTACAGGAGTGAGCCATCAGGACCCAGGCATGTCTTGGTAATTTCTTATACTTTGGTAGCAGTTCAGAACCGCCTTATCTACGGCCAGGAACAAGCTAGAACATCAAGAACTACCTTTTCTACTGCCAGGAAAACTCCGATGTGATAACTTAAATGTCATTTAAAAAAAAACCCTTCTAGGGAAGATGTCAGTAACATAGTATTTCATGGTAAAAGCATATTTCCAGCAAAATAATCTTTGCTAAGACTTAGTTGACCTGATTTTTTTTTTTAAATATCTGATTTCCTTGTGATATGGGAAAACTGCCACGGTTCTTTGTCTCTCTGGCCTTGAAGAATGAATGAGTGTATGGATGCAGAGGGCAAAGAGTTATAGGGAAATAAAAGATGAGCAGAGCTCCTGCTAGACAGAAGGGATCCCCAGGCAGGCACATGGGGGTGGTTGTGTGTGGTGCAGAGGTTAATAATGTGTCTCCAGCTACCTGACCTTAAAGATCAATGGACACCCCAGGCCATGTCAGACCTGAGACCCAATTAGAGCTCTCCATGCATCTTTTAGCTCCTCTGGTTGGCTGCCCATTCGGCTCCTCTCTGAGATCCATCAGTGCTCTGCTCCAGGCAAATCTTCCAGGGGCCATGACAGGATGCCCAGGGGCCTGCATGCGCCCCTGCTCACCGTCATGGTGATGGGAGGTCGAGGGGTCACCACCCAGGACTGCTCAAGGCCATCCCGAGGAATGGGGAACCTCTATGGAAGGTTGCCTTATTCCTATTGCCTCGTCAGGCTCTTCTGTGCTCTCTTTCTTTCATGTGTGTGTGTGTGTGTGTGTGTGTGTGGTGTTCACGCTTGCCCTGGTTGGAACTCAGGATCTTGTTCTTGCTCAGCTTATTTGCTCATCTGCCTTGCTCAACTTGTACCTTACCACTTGAGCCACACCACCCAGCCCAGCTTTTTACTAGTTATTTTGGAGTTATTTGGCGTCTCCTGGCCTAGAACCTCCATCCTCTGCTTGTCGGCCTCCCAAGTAGCTAGGGTTCTGAAGAGGACCAGGCTGATCCTTGTGTCTTGACTCTCACATCAAGAGTAGTTGTAGAGTGTGGAGAAGGATGGGTGAGGGCGCTGGGAGAGTGTATGGACAGATCCTGCTGTTTTTATTTGTCCAGCCTGGCTCACCTGACCCAGGACCCGCCCCCCTGAAACATAAAACATAGCTTGAGGACAGCTGTGCTGAGGACGGGTAAAACCAATGCAGGGGGTTTGCTATTGACTGTTGTTTTTCTGGCCTAGGGTTTTAGCAAGGAATACTAAATCTAAACAGCCTGGAATTAAACAATTACAAATAAAGTTCCTGGATCAATGCAAGTTACAGTGTAGTTTGGATTTTTTAAAATTTTTTTATGAGCATCTATTAATTGTACAAAATGACAGACTTTATATGACACTTTCAGGCATGTATAGAATGCTCTGGAAGTCTTGAAAATCTAAATGAATTTGGGTGGGAAACGAGAGCCCCAGATCTTGTTCCTTTGAAAACTCTGAAGTAGCTCCATAACTTTCTTCCTAAAGAAATCTAAGTCATTTTTCTTCTCTCTAGGCAGATTCCTCAGTTTCCTCCCCAAGAAATTGGATTGTGCGTTCAGGGGGTGGTCGGGTCCTGTTAGTTCTGTGCAGCGGACTTTACTGGAACATTCCAGATTTCCTCTGGCCTCCCTGCTTACCTGCCATGAATGGATCTCTTGTATAACTCTCTTGAGTACAACCTTTCAGTCATTATTCCTTGAGCCAGAAAGTCGGTTGCTCTGCTATTAAAGTGGTAGCTTCTGCTTAGAGCCGGCGGTGCCAAGGTTTTAGTGGCTAGATGCTGGCAGCCACTGGTAACTATGAAATAGAGCCCAGAGGCTCCCGCAGAATTATGTGTTAGGAGGGAGCTCCTCAGACAAAAAAAAAAAATATTCTGTCTCTTCAGATTATTTGAGTTCAGGGAAGCAATTTAAGAAGGCTAGAGATGAGCGCTGGTGGCTCACAACTGTAACTTTAGCTACTCAGGAGGATGAAATCTGAGGATCAAGGTTCAAAGCCAGCCCAGGCAGGAAAGTCTGCAAGACTTTATCTCCAATATACTTTTTTCTTTTTTTAAAAAAAGCAGAAGTGGAGCAGTGGCTCAAGTGGTAGAGCATCAGCCTTGAGCAAAAAAAAAAAAAAAAAAAGCTAACTTTTGTGTACGTAATATTTTTATTCATTATTATTTTTGGGGGGAGGGGTCCGGTTGTGGAGCCTGAACTCGGCCTGGGCACTGTCCCTCAGCTCTTCAGCTCAAGGCTAGTGCTCCACCACTTGAGCCACAGTGCCACTTCCGGCTTTTTTCTTTTTGCTCATGTGGTGCTGAGGAATCGAACCCAGGGCCTCAGGCATGCAAGGCAAGCGCTGTATCACTGAGCCACCTTCCCAGCCCTTTATTCATTATTTTAAAAACTATTTGCATCAAGTAAGAAGGAAAGTCATTTAATGTAGTATTAGAAAGTAATGCCAATTTTAGAGTAATAATTGACCTACTCTTTCTAAAGAGTAATTGGAATAATTTTTAACCACTGTCTTTGTTTAAAAGAATTTAAAAATTCATCTTTTTTTTTTTTTTTTCAGAGATGAGGACTGACCTAGGGGCCTTGCTTTTACCAGTCTTCCACTGAACTAAGTCCCCAGCACCAAAATACATTATCTCTAATATGCAGTCTCTGTAACTCAGTCTTCAAATTTTTTCAAAAACAATAGATAGTGGGGAGTATAAAGCCATGTAAACCATACGGAAGCGGATTAATACTAATCAGTACTTAATCACTGGAGAACGGCCATTGCCCCCACATTGTATTTGAGAAGTAGTTGTGTAGGAAGTTATATGTTACTCTATGTAGGTGTAACCGGGTGAAGAGATAAATTCAGTCTATATGGTCATCAAAAAGAAAAACAACAAATGATCTTTCTGCACGCTACTCTTTCTTTTTAATTGTCCTCTTTAAATAGTATGTGGGTTTTTTTGGATATAGTTGATTCAAAATCAGGAGAGAGGAGTAGAGTTGCACAGGTTCTTGGCAGTGTGAGACATTATGAAACGTGGGCTCCTCGTCTCAGAGATCCTGGCTTCCTGTGGTTGGGTTCAGTGCCTATTGGCAGACAGGCAGATGTTCTGAACATATCCACACTGCAGACAGTTGCTGAAGAAGATCGCCACGGCACCATCTCAAATGACCTTTGGAAAAATATTGCTGTGGTTGCATCTTCTACCAGGTGTGTCCCAGATCGCCACTTTCTCCCCTGCATATAGAAATAATATCTACTATTTTCACAAACATTACAAAAAAATACAAAGTGAAATATACTACCACTAGTCTTACAGCATTATTTTTTTTCTAAATTTAAACACTACCCATTAATCATTTCATGCCTGGTGTTATGTTATTTTCTATTTGGCAGTGCTGGAGTTTGAATTCAGGGCCTCATAGTTACTAGGCCTGTCCTTGATACCACTTGAGTCATACCCGTAGTCCTTTTGTTATTTTTCAAGCAGGTTCCTTATTTTACCCCGGGCTGGTCTTGAACTATACTCCTCTTACCTATAATCTCCCTTATAGCTGGGATCCTGCCTGGCTTGTTTGTTGAGATGATGTCTTACTTTTTTCTTGGTTCTAGCCTTAAACTGTAATCCTCCTGATGTTTGCTTCTAGAGTAACTGGGATTATAGGCATGTACCATAAAGAACTAGCCCATCTAATTGTGTGTGTGTGTGTGTGTGCATGCACACATGTGCGCACGCAGGCACGCGCATGTGTGTATTGGTCTTGGGGCTTGAACTAAGGATCTGAGCACTGCCCTGAGCTTTTGTGCTCAATATTAGAACACTACCACTTGAACCATAGCTCTATCTCCAGCCTTTTCTTTGGTAGTTAATTAGAGATAAGAGTCTCATGAACTTTCCTGCCCAGGCTGGCTTCAAATAGCGATTCTCAGATCTCACTGGCATGGGGCACTGGTGCCTGGCCTACTTGATATTTAATATGACATTCTTACTGCAGCTAAGTAATAACAAGCTCAAATGTCTTTTCGTTTCAAATATGCAATTTTTCACTGTTCCTTGTTAATAATCTATGAATCCAGTCTAATTTGATCACTATCTGATAGTTTAAAGTACTCATGATATATTGCAGAATAATGTATTGTGGCTAATTTAATATTCTTATTAAATACGAACATATATTTTCTTTGAAATTGCTGCTTTCCAAAACATGAAAAGATACCTCATTCTCATAGTGAGAATAATTTAGAAGGCACTTTGAACTCTACCTTCAGCGTCTAACCACCAATACACTAAATTGAAGTGCTACATGTACTGTTTGAACAGCCTTTCTGGAATTAGTTTTTCTCACCTATACTCATGCATGTTTTATTTTGGTAGCAATGACTTTTCCTTCCAGGGCTAGCTTCCATCTATGATCTGCAGATTTCAGCCTCCTGAGTAGTGAAGATTACAGGTGTGAGCCTCAGGCCCTCAGCAAAACATAGCTTCTCATAGTGATGGATATTTTCTTTTTATGTATTCGAAGTAAATGCACAGAGCGATATGCCTGATTTATGCAGTTTGTTTTCACTTGACAACAGACAGTGCTTGCTGCGGATGAGAGACTGTAAGGAAGAGGGAGAGGGAGGCGAGGCTCTGAGAACGGCACACACTGGAATCCACATCTGGAACTACTGGTTTTCCTGGGTCTTTCTTGCCGGAACGAGTGTTTCCCTCACAGTTGGAGTATATCTAGTCACTTGTAGAGGTGACGGATCAGCTCAGAACAAGTGTGTGAAAGGTTAGCAATCTCACCTTGTAGTTTCCACTTCTTCTGCAGACATTTTCAAGTACTCAAAGACAAAACATACTCACATTAAAAAAATTAAAATCATTATAAGTAATTAAAAAGTCAGTCTTCCTGTTCCTGACTGATTGCTGAAGTTCCTTCCTTTCCTGGTTAGAATTTTGTAATTACAAAATCCCACATGTCTATAAAATCCTGCTTGTCTACTTCTCTGTAAGCTTATGCGGGTGTAAGATATAGTACCAGAGGTTTGAGGTTTAGCATGTGAGGAGTGCTCATAACACATTCTGAGTATGCCAAGGGGTAAATAGCTATGTGAAAGAATAATGGCCTCACGTGGTGAAGCAAGCTACAAGATTTGTTTTCTTCAGTACTGCTTTGAATTCACAACCCTGAGGCAGTTAGGCAGGTACTCCAACCCTGCCCTGCATCCTTGCTCCTGACAAAGTAGATCTTGAAGAAAGAGAAACGCATGCTTTGAGCGTTCATGGTAGCAGAAGCTCTGATCAGCTTACATTATTTCATCATGGAAGATATGCATATTACTTATTTAAGGCTATTTATATTAATTTATTCATTTATAGTCTAGTTATTTTTGCCATTTTTCAGATAAGAAAACTGAGCCTCAGAGAATAAGATTCCATACACAGAGCTAGGAAAATGCTATCCTAGTGAGTCTGGTTCCTACATGCTTTATTACATGCGAACTAAATTGTGTCTCCCCCTGCCCAACCCGCCCCCCCAAAAGCGGCCTTCCTTTGTCCCTATAGGTGTGAAACCAAAAGAATGGGTTTAACCATGTGACCAAGAAACCATTGCAAAAGAGAAATCGGAAAAGAACAGTGTTTCAAAGAACAGCAGTAGCATGGAGATTATGCAAAATTCCTTATGCATGGTGAATCTCTTGAAGTATAGGAGTGATTTGGAGAGCTGCCTTTGAGAAGTTTCATTTAAACGCCATCTTGCTAACTTAGAGTTTTGTTCTATATTCAGCATTAGCCTACTAGCACCCTGTGAGTTTTCCATCAAATAGTTTGAGGAATGAAACACCTTATCTACCTGAGAAGCAGATAGAATCAGGGTGTGTACAGAAAAAAAAAAAATCTATCTTCTGGATGGTATTTCCAGTTGTAAACAGCTGGGTAAGTGAAAGATGAATAAGAATCTATAACTTGAGGTACTGTACAAGAGATATCACAACACATTTATGTGGATATTGCTAAAATATAGGCATGCATATTTGATCTTCTTCAATTCACTTAATATTTTATTAGCCTCAGCAATGGCACACTGGGTCCCAGCTGCTCTGGAGACCGAAGCAGAAGGAATGCTTGAGTCCAGAGTTTGAAACTAGTGTGGGCAATGTAGTAAGTCTCCATCTCAAAAAACAAATCAACAACTGGCCCTTTTGGTGCCTGTATGTTATCCCAGTTACTTAAATATTAGGATCTTTATCAGAGGCCCACTGGGGCAAAGGGAAAAGATTCTACCTAAAAAACAAACTAAAAAGCCAAAGGACCAGATAACCAAATTCAGTCCCTAGTACCACCAAAGATAAAAATAACAAATAAACAACACACCAAGAAACCTCATTTAATTAGTGATCCAGATGGAGTGGGTTGTACTCATGTTGTGACCATTCAGCCCGTCTGACTGCGTGTTACTGAGCATTGGAAACACAGAGGTCTAAATTAAGATACTCAGTTTTTAGTTTTACTTAATTTCAAGCTGACAATGCTGTTTTAGGAAAATGTTAAAGCATGCGTGCAGAAATGGGTTTGCATGAATCTAGTATTTTAGCTGCAGGCTGTATAACATCTAAGTGCAAAATATCTACTTCTAATAAAAATTTTGCATCTAATTTAGTTGTCTAAGATACATATTAGATTTCAAAGACAGGACCAATGTGCTTTTTAGATGATGAAATAGTCACTTAATGTGACAAATGTCACTTAGCTACATCTTTTCTCTGATTTCTTTTTTTTTCTCATCAAAGTAAAATATTAGAATTGATGTCTGTGTGATTATTTCCCTAATTCCTCTGCTTCATCCTTTTTAATCTATGTTACAGATGCTCATAATGTATCGCACTAATTTGATCTAGGCAAGAAATCTGTTTAACAGAAACTTACAGACTCTAGTATTTTATTTTGTAAATCACACTTATTTTTTTACCTGTCTATATATCTATGATCTACCCATCTATCAGTCTGTCTGTCTGTCTTGCAGTGTTGGGGATTAAATTAAGGGCCTCTTGCGTGATAGACAAGTACTTTACTGAGAAGCTTTTACACTCTGTTAATATTACAAATTGTGTATAGATTGACTATCACCACAGTTTGTTTCTTTTTCTACTTAAAAAAAATTTTTTTTAATGCTAGTCTTGGTGCTAGAACTCAGGACCTGGGTGCTGTCCCTGAGCTTTTGTGTTCAAGGCTAGCACTTTGCCATTTGACCCACAGCTCCACTTCTGGCTTTTTGGAGGTTAATTGGAGATAAGAGTCTCATGGACTTTCCTGCCCTAGCTATCTTGGAACCTATCAATTTATTTTTATGTGTTTGCTTTCCTACATATTTTGGTTAACATTAGGTAATTTTACAAAAGATTTAAAAGTTGAAAAGCCAGCTGCTGGCGGCTTATACCTGTAATCCTAGCTACTCAGGAGGCTGAGATCTGAGGATTTCCCTGAGTAGGAAAGTTCAGGAGACTTTTTTTTTTTGCCAGTCCTGGGGTTTGAACTCAGAGCCTGGGTGCTATTTGTGCTCAAAGCTAGTGCTCTACCACTTGAGCCACAGTGCCACTTCCAGTCTTTTTGAGTAATTTATTGGAGATAAGACTCTCATGGAGACTTTTCTGCCCAGGATGGCTTTGATCTTGGACCTTCAGATCTAGGTATACAGGCCTGAGCCACGGGAAACCAAGAGACTCTTATGTCCAATTAACCTCCAGAAAAGCCAGAAGTGGAGCTCAAGTAGTACAGTGCTAGCCTTGAGCACAAAAGCTCAGGGACAGGGCCCAGGCCCTGAGTTTCAGCCCCAGATTCAGCACAAATAAGAAAAAAAAAAAACTGAAAAACTTGGTGTTCTACTAAGGTTTCTATAGGAAAAAGTATGGTCTTCCAAAAAGGGCTGCTTGTCATTCCAGACATCTGAAGTTCTTTTAGTAAGAAAAATAAACATACAGGTGAAAGATGAAAGCCTTCCCTGCTCTGGCAGGTTTTCTCTTGTGTAATGCTGGCTTGGAGGAAGAGGCCTTATACTTTTATTTATATAAGTTTTCCTGGCTGTAGTAGGTCCTTAATCTCAGAAAAAAGAATAGACAGGTTGCTGGGTACCAGTGGCTCATGCCTGTAATCCTAGCTACTCAGGAGGCTGAGGTCTGAGGATCACAGTTCAAAGCCCACCCAGGCAGGAAAGTCTGTGAGATTCTTATCTCCAATTAACCATAAAAAACTGAAAGTGGAGCTGTGGCTCAAGTGGTAGAGCACTACCCTGGAGAAAAGCTCAGAGACAGTGTACAGGCCCTGAGTTCAAGCCCCAGTACTGACCAAAAAAAAAAAAAAAAAGACTGGTAACATATTTCAGTTTAGTTATTAAGAACTAAACTGATAAATAAATAAATAAATATTAAGTTATTTATTGTAATAAGACATTTTTGTTTTTCTCAGGTTTGTTTGGCTTGACTTTCAGGCCTGCTATTCAACTGTTTTTGTTTGACATAAAGTACTTGCATTGTAAAGCACCTGAGCTAATCATTCAGGAAAGTCTACCTTCTCCGAGATTGCAGGGTTAATTATGTATGGATTATGAAATTCATAATGGATGGTGTCATTTAAACGTGAGAGAATCATCTGTAAAGAACTTTATGATGCCAGTGGAGACCAGGCCGGCTGGATCACTCAAAGACGGGGTCCAGGACACTTAGGGGGTCACCTCAGACCCAAAAGGCCATGGTGGGGTAATTCCTTCTGGTGAGGTGAAGCACGGTTCAGGCATGAAGGCCATTGCCGGGATGCGGGGGCCAGGCTGTGGGGACAGCGGCCAGTCACCCAACCCAGGGCGGGTGGGCGGGGAACAGCAGGGAGGAGAGCAGCAGGGAGGCCCTGGGCATGGGCTGGTTTCTGTCCATCAGTCTGTCAATATGTCCCTCACACTTCTTCTGGCTGACCGGGATGTGGCCATGCCGCTCTTTGAACTTCCAGGTGGAGCAGCCGGAGCATCACGCCACCCGGCGTGATGCCGGCCTGATGTCCCCCCGCGACCCACAGCGGACGGGCGAGCGCTCACCCGATCGGCGGGGACACGCTGGGCGTCGTCAGGCCCTCGCCCCTGCCCTTTCCCCCAGTTCCCGCCCCAGCCCTGCGCCTTCTAGATCGGAGCTGAGCCCCTGCCCGCCAGCCCCGGGCCCCTGCCCGCCAGCCCCGGGCACCGCCTGGGTGGGCGCCGCGTGGACGCTGAGCGCAGAGAGGGGAGGTGCGCCGCGCGGTCCTCTCCCCGGGGACCTCCTCTCGCCCCGGGGACCCCCCTCGCCCCGGAGACCCCCCCTCGCCCCGGAGACCCCCCCCCTCGCCCCGGGGCCCCCCCTCGCCCCGGAGACCCCCCCTCGCCCCGGGGCCCCCTCTCCCGCCCGACCCCTCCCCTCCCTCCCCCAGGCTCTGACTGGGGAGGAGGCCACACACTGTGTATGGGGGGCGCAGTGGGGGTGCTGATGCCAAGGGCGAGGTTGGGGGCTCCCTGCCCTCCCACCGCCCCTCCCTTCTTACCTCCATTGCCCCCCCCTTACCTGCACCTCCCCTCCCCTCCTCCCACCTGACCCCTCCTCTCCATCTTCCCTCCTTCTCCTCCCCCCCCTCCCCCTCCATCTCTCCCTTCCCCACTCCGGTCTCCATCTCTCCCTCCCCCCTCCCTCCCCTCTCCGTCCCTCCCCTCCCCCCCACCCCCCGTCGCGCGCTCGCTCTGCTGATCCGCGCCGCCGTGACTCAGCGCTTCCCAGTCCCGTCCGCCGGGGCTCGGCCCTCCCTCCCCTCCCCTCCCCTCCTCCCCTCCCCTCCTCCCCGCCGTCCCTCCCTCCCCTCCGCTCCCCGCGGTCCCTCCGGGTCCCCTCCCCTCCCTCCCTCCCTCCCTCCCTTCCTCTCCCGCCGCGCCCACCCCCTCGCGCCACCGCGCCGCCCGCCCCGCCCCGCCCGCGGCCTCTCCTCCGCTCCCCGCGCCGCCGGCCGCACGCGCCCGCCGAGCCCGCCGAGCCCGCGGCCCCCGACCCCGCGGACCTCCGACCCCGCCGCCCTCCGACCCCGCGGACCTCCGACCCCGCCGCCCTCCGACCCCGCGGACCTCCGACCCCGCGGACCTCCGACCCCGCGGTCCCCCGACCCCGCGTACCTCAGACCCCGCGGTCCTCTGACCCCGCCGCCGCCATGGAGCCCACCGCGCCCCGCCGCCGCCACACCCGGCTGCGCGGCTACCTGCTGACGCGGGACCCGCACCTCAACAAGGTACGGCGGCCAGGCGGAGTCGGGGCCGGGCGGAGTCGGGGCCGGGCGGAGTCGGGGGCCGGGGCGGTGTCGGGGGTGGGGGTTGATGTTGGGGTCCGGGACAGTGTCGAGGTCCAGGGTGATGTCGGGGTCCGGGGCGGTGTCGGGGGTGGGGGGGTGATGTTGGGGTCCGGGGTGGTGTCGGGGGTGGGGGGGTGATGTCGGGGTCCAGGGTGATGTCGGGGTCCGAGGGTGATGTGGGCCGGGTGACGTCGGGGGGGAAGGGGTGGGGGGGGGTCGGTACCTGCCCTCAGGGGAGGCCATGAGCCATGAGGCCTCACTCATAATCTGGGGTCCACGACCTCTGGGTTCCAAGGTTTCTGGGCGCCCTGGCTGGTTAGGAGGCGCGTGCGCGTGACCCCCCCCCCCCCCTCCCCGGGCTCCCCCTTGGCTTGGTGGCAGCCAGGAGCCGGCCTGGACCTGAGGCTGGCCAGTCCTTGAACCCCCTCCCCGGAAGTGAAAACTAGCTTTATTAGAGACTTCTCCTTCTCTGTCTCTCCCTCTGGATCCCGCACCGCACCCCCTTTCCTGGTGCATGCCCCCTTCCTCCACTGCCACTTCTGTCTTCTCCACCCAACTTTGCCTTGGATTGAAACCGGCCCCGTGGACCCGTGTCCTGCCCAGACTGAGCTGCAGGCCGCCAGGCCTGTGAATGCACGTCCGCTGTGTGTGTGCACGTCCCCTGTGCGTGCACAAACGCACGTCCTCTGTGTGTGTGCACATCTCATATGTGTGTGCATGTCCCCTGTGTGTGCACACCTGTACAGCTCTGTGCATGCACGTACATGGCCCCTGTGTGCACATCCCCTGTGTGCACACATGTGTACAGCTCTGTGTGGACATCCCCTGTGTGTGTGCATGCATGTACTGCTCTGTGTATGCAAGTGCAGGTCTCTGTGTGAACACCGTCTTCGCATGTGCACATGTACACACATCTGTCTGTAGATGGTCCCTTGGCGTGGGCACATGTATACAGGTCTGTGTGTGGATGCCCCCTGGGCGTGTTCACATGTACACTCGTGACCTTTCTGTGCTCTGGGAACAATGTCCGAGTGAGTCACGGCATATGTGTGCAGTGCTCTGCCTCCTGCCGGTGGAGAGCAACCTTTCCCACTAGGAACTGGACCTCAGCTCTTTGCCCAGGCGTGCTATTCCTGACCTTCATTCTTACCAGCTATTCCTGACCTTCATTCTTACCAATGGCTTAAGACATGATTTATTGAATGTGTCGGATCAGTGACAGGCAACTTACATAAGTCAGTAATTACTTACTGTTTGTAGTCATGTAATATACAAGTTTCTTTCATTTTACTTTTTGTGCCAGAACTGGGGTTTGAACTCAGGACCTTATGCTTTTCCTTAGCTTTTTCCACCAAAGACTGGTACTCTACCACTTGAGCCAAACCTCCAGGCTGGCATTTTGCTGATTATTATTGTGTGTGTTCACATGCATTTGCATACGTGTGTACACACATACTAGTACTAGGACTTGACCTCAGGGCCTGGATGTTGCCCTTTTATTTTGCTCTAGGCTGGTGTTCTATTACTTACCCAAGTCACACTTCCACTTCTGATGTTTTGGCGGCGAATTGGAGATAAGAGTTGCTCTGATTTGTCTGCTTGGGTTGGCTTTGAACTGCAGTTGTCAGATCTCAGCCTCCTAAGTAGGTAGGCCTACAGATGTGAGCCTCTGGCACCCAGCTAATATAACATTTTAAATAGTTCCTACTTAATTTTTCCCCCTTAAATTTAATTGCTAGTTTGATTCTTTTTCTTCCTTTTTATTACTCCATAGATTGAGCCTATTTTATGTAGAACAAAGGGAAAATTTGATGTGACCGAACACTTTGTGACGCTCATGCTTTATTTACTTCATGACAGAATTACAGGTTGACACTTAGATCACGTAAGTAGTAGAACCTGTTTGGTTTTCTGCAAGGCCCACAAGAGTGTGTCCACTCTGTGGGCAGTCGCCAGGCCTTTGCTGTGTTTATGTCAAGAATTGGTTATGAAATCCTTGTGATACCCCTTTACCTGGAACAGTCACTACCTACTTCAGAATTAAAACTCACAAAGTTCTTTCACCAAAGGTAGAAAGATGCCACATTGATATGTTAATATATATTTTTTGCATTTGTAATTGAACTTCCTTATCTATGTTATATTGAATTGGATCTCAAATCTCATTCACTGACTAGAGCAATTGGTATAATTAGCTTGACTTCACTTAGTTGGAAAGTTTGGGGGCAGGACCTCATGGAAGCACTTTTGTGTGTCATTGAAACCTGAGAAGTGGAACCTCCTCCAGTGGTTCACGCCTGTAATCCTACTCAGGGGGCTGAGGTCCAGAGGATTCTGATTCAAAGCCTGCCTGGGCCGCAAAGTCTGCGAGACTCCAACGTCAAAATAACTACCAAGAAGCAAGTAGCAAGCAAGCCAAGAGAATGCAAGGCTCCGAGTGTAACATTCAGTAACCCTCCCACCCCAAAGGATAAAGAACAAGAAAAGAAGTGAGACCTTGACTGCTATGCACTCAAGAATTTTTCGGCCTGTGTGTTTGCTGGGAGTCCAGGGAGTTTTTGTTGTTTTCTTTTTGATTATTGATGAACTAACACAAAAAGGATACTAGCTCTACCAGTGTCTTCATTTTCTCCTAACAGCCTGGCCTTGAGCTAGCTATAGGAAGACTTCGTTAAGTACCTTAACACAGGCCTTAGTCACCTTTCTTTGAGTAACAGCAGCTACCATTTTGCTGGCTTTATTTCTGTTTCCATTACTATAGCCTGACCTACATATGCAGGTATGCAAGTATGAAAGAAATACCTTCACCAAGTAACATCTTCCTCCCATCCTCCTTCCGTTATCCCGATATTTATCATATGCTGTTTCCTGTTCTATTTCACGTAAAGCCTACTGTCTATTAGTTTACTAGTTTTACTATCTTCTCTGAATTGACCTCATTAGTTTCCCTGCTCAGCTTCCCACTTACAATTTATTTGCTGACTCTCTTTCCTTTTTGGGTGTATAACTACTGCAACTGAAATATCCTGAGCTGATTTAATAATATCTCTAGGGAAACTTTTTCCTAATTATTTTTTTCCTATTACTATTTTATAACATTGTGTGTGTGTTTGTGTATGCGTGTGTGTGTGTGCACATATGCTGGTCCTGAGACTTGAACTCAAGACTTGGGTACTGTCTCTGAACATTTTCATTCAAGGCTAGTGCTCTACCACTTGAGCCAAAACTCTACCTCCTAGCTCTTTGTTGGCTAGTTAGAGATAAGTGTCTCATGGACTTTTCTGCCCCAGCTGGCTTCCAACCTCAATCCTCAGATCTTAACCTGGGATTACAGGCGGGAGCACCCCACAGCGCTTTTGTTTTTAGGTAGCTACTTGATCTGTATTGTTTTGTATTTTTACCACATGCTTGTTTTCTTGGTTTTCATGTTGTGATTGTCAGAAGTCATATATTATTTTGCAGAGTGAATATTAAGTATTTATATAATGAGCGAGCTATTCTTTTTTATTTTATTTTATTTTTTTCTATTTTTTTGTCCGGCCGTGGGGCCTGAACTCTGGGCCTGGGCACTGTCCCTCAGCTCTTCAGCTCAAGGCTAGGACTCTACCACTTGAGCCATAGCGCCACTTCCAGCTTTTTTCTTTTTGCTTATGTGGTGCTGAGGAATCGAACCCAGGGCCTCAGGCATGCAAGGCAAGCACTCTACCACTGAGCCACCTTCCCAGCCCTCTTTTTTATTTTAGACTGGGCTCAGCTTTTAAAGCAGGAAATGTTGTTTGCTTGTTTGAGACAAGATCTTACTATATAACCCAGATTGGCCTTGAACTCCAGATCTTCCTGCTTCAGTGTCCTGAGTGCTGGGATTGCAAGCCTGTGATGCCAAGCCTAGCCTAGTCTGGCAGGGAGCTTGTAACGTGGTAGTGTGGGGCTTGTCCTATGACAAATAGACCCTTCAATGTAATTTTGTGAAATTAAAAATTCACACTGATGTCTAAAGTTCATTTGATTATATAATTGCATTGTACAGTAGAATTATTTGGTCAGAAAAGTTGTCATTTGGCTTAATTTAAATTATTGGCTGGATACCCTTGGGGAGATAGTCTTGGTAAAATCAATTTTAGCCATAGATAGGATCTGAATTTAAGCAAAATGAAACAAAAGCTTGGGGAAATAGGCTGTTCATTGTTAATAACACATGTTTCATGTTAAACTTACATCAGTCCAGCCACAGCACACACACACACACACACACACACACACACACACACACACACACACACACACACACACACACACACACACACACACACACAGAGAGTAGTGGTGCTACTATTTGGGTTTGAAATCAGGGCCTGAGTGTGCTGTTTCTGAGCTTTTTTCCCCCAAAGGCTGGTGTGCTCTACCACTTGAGCCACAGCTCCACTTCTGGCTTGTTGGTAGTTTATGGGAGGTAAGAGTCTCACAGACTTTCCTGCCTAGGCTAGTTTTAAACTTGATCCTCAAATCTCAGCTCCTAAGTAGTTAGGATTACAGACGTAAGCCACTGGCGCCAGGCTTTTCTATTTTAATTTTTAAAAAGGCATTGTAATCACTGATGAATTTCATTCCACAGTATTAAAAACTCTGCTGTGTGACTTAACTCTAAGTAGTGCTTTGACACACCTAGGAAGATTCTTTATTATAGGGTAACTTCCTTTTCTTTGTTCTTAGGGTGCACCTGGAGCTCATTTGTCTTTGCAGTACTGGTCCTGGCTCCTTTGTTATTCCATCTACTCATTAAAATTGAAGTCTCTTCTTAAAAAAAATAAAAGAACTAGAGCTTCACTCGTGCTAGGAGAGCTACCACTGAAACTCTCCCCTTCCCCCTTTTCTTGAGAGACAGGATATCTTTTAAGTTCCCCAGGCTGGTTTTGAACTTGCCCAGCCCCCTGAGCAGCTGG